GAGCCCCAGGGGCGCCCCGGGGGCCCCACCCGGCAGCGCCCCAACTGCTCTGCCCCAGGGTCCACAACAAAAGCCTGGTCTGCTGGGGGGGGAGGGCACAAGCTGTACATCTCCCTGGTCTGCTGGGGGGAAGCAGCTAGTGCGGGGTTGCCTCACCCCATTTGTAAGTAGGGATCACGCCTGGGGCAGAGCAGCTGGGGTGCTGCCAGGTTGGTCCGGAGCGGCGCTGCGGGACCAACTCGGCAGCCCCCAGCTGCTCTACCCCAGGGGTAGGCAAGAAAAGCCTGGTCTGCTGGGGGGGGAGGGCACAAGCTGTACCACCCCCCCAGCAGACCAGGGAGACCGGGAAAAGCTTTTCTCACCCCGGAGGACACAGGTAGCGACCCGCTGCCCATGAGCTCCAGGGCGAGAAAAGCCCCGTTCGTAAGTGCGGATCCAACATAAGTCGGATCCGCGTAAGTCGGGGACTGCCTGTAATTATTTTTTCTAACATGAGAAATGCACGAAACAAAGAGTTTTTGGTCTATCCATAAGGTATTTTTTCCTTCTCATCCACAATTATCTTTTGGAATTAAAACATTATCTGAGCTGTTTGGTCACCATCGATATTTTGATTATTGTTAGAAAATATTTCTCAGAATCGTAAGAAGAGAGTGGAATTAAACTGATTATGCCACCTTTAGACCAGCTAATTGCCAGCAGAGACAACATAAAGTCTACTTTATATTGCCAGTGTGGTGGAAAGCAGTCTTATGAAATGTCTGGAGTTGACTCAGTATGTCAATCAAAAGTCAAACCAGCTGACAAAGGGGGTGCTGTGGTCATTATGAATAAGGCCTACTATAACCAGGAGGCAACCAGACAACTCTCGAACACCACATTTTACAAACCTCTCCCCTCTGATCCCACCTTGGACTACCAAAAGAAACTACACTGTCTCCTTAAAAGCCTCCCCACAGCTACTCGGGAACAAATCCTCACAGAATCACCTTCTGACCCCCGACCAGGATTGTTCTATCTACTTCCCAAGATCCATAAACCTGGGCACCCCGGACGTCCCATCATCTCTGGTATTGGCACGCTCACTACGGGTCTATCCAGCTATGTAGACACTCTTCTCAAACCCTTCGTAACCAATACCCCCAGCTATCTCCGAGACACTACTGACTTCCTAAGGAAATTACAAAACATCGATAACCTCCCCAATAATACCATCCTTGCCACCATGGATGTAGAAGCTCTATATACCAACATCCCACATGAAGACGGATTACAAGCAATTAGAAACACTATCCCAGAGGACACTACTGCCAACCTGATAGCAGACCTATGTAACTTTGTTCTCACCCACAATTATTTCCGGTTTGAGAACAACTTATACCTCCAGATCAGCGGCACAGCCATGGGTACACGCATGGCCCCACAGTATGCTAACATCTTTATGGCTGACCTAGAACAACGTTTCCTCAACTCCCGTCCCCTTTCACCCCTCCTCTACCTACGGTACATCGATGACATCTTTATGATCTGGACACATGGCCAAGAAACACTGGAGATATTCCACAGAGATTTCAACAACCTACACCCCACCATCAACCTCAGCCTGGACCATTCTACACGAGAGATCCACTTCCTGGACACCACCGTACAAATCAACAATGGAAAATTAGACACCACTCTCTACAGAAAACCCACTGACTCATACAGTTACCTACATGCATCCAGCTCCCATCCAGAACACACCACACGATCCATCGTCTATAGCCAAGCCCTTCGATACAACCGCATCTGCTCTAACCCCACTGACAGAGACCAGAAGCTTCAGGATCTCTACCAAGCATTTATAAATCTCAACTACCCACCCAGAGAAACAAAAAAGCAAATTGAAAGAGCCAGACGAATACCTAGAAACCATCTACTTCAAGACAGACCCAAGAAAACCAACAATAGAACACCACTTGTCATCACCTACAACCCCCAACTTAAACCTGTCCAACACATTATCAATAAACTACAGCCTATATTGGAACAGGATACCATACTCAAAGAGGCTCTGGGAGACAGACCCATAGTCTCCTATAGACAACCACCTAACCTCAAGATGATTCTTACCAACCACCACAGGACATACCACACTAATACCAACCCTGGTACCTTCCCTTGCAACAAACCCCGTTGCCAGCTTTGTCCACATATTCATTCTGCTGATACCATTATTGGACCTAACCAAGTGAGTTATAAGATCAAGAACACATATTCCTGCGCATCCAGAAATATAATCTACGCTATCATGTGCCGAAAGTGTCCGTCTGCTATGTACATTGGACAAACATCTCAGACACTTCGCCAAAGGATTAATGCCCACAAAACAGATATCAGACAAGATCACAAAGAGAAAACAGTTTCTTGCCACTTTAACCAGAAAGGACACTCTCTAAATGACTTAGCCACCTGCATTCTGCTACAAAGACCTTTTACATCTGCACTTGACATCCCCAATTCAGCCGCTGGTCAATTTTAGCAGCGGCTGAATTGGGGAACCTGGGGGCAGAGCAGCTCCAATGATCCGGTTGCCCGGAGCACTTCCGGGTTCCTGATGGTGCCAGACCATCAGGAGTACCGGACCATCAGATGCCGGACCACTGGAGTTTTACTGTAAAAGGATATTGCAGCTCAGAAAGTAGAACATGTGGAGAGTAACTGCCTCCTATGAAGAGTTATGGGAAATGAACAGAGATAAACATCAGGGTTCACAAATACTTCTGTTGACTCAACTTGGATTACATACCTAATGTATGTAAGATGAAAAAATTGGTCTAAAGATGGGAAGAGTGGAAAGGACAGACAACTGCATAGGCATCTATCTACAAGGTCATAGGACAGGGCAGGGCAGGGCAAGGATGGTCAGTGGGCCGGATTTGGCCCACCTAACACTTTCATCCAGCCTGCATCAGCTCCTGGCCTCACTACTAACGCGTTGCCTGGGAGCTGCCAGGAAGGCGCAAGCCCTTTCTACTACTGCTATTTAAAGGGCTCACGCTTTCCCGGAGGCTGCCAGGCAACTTGGTAATAGCCATATGGCAGGTGCAAGCCCTTTATATATAAGTAATCGAAACAGCTCATGCCTCCTTGCTGGCTCCCAGGCAATGCCTTAGCAGCAGGGCCAGGAGCTGCAAGCCCTTTCACTTGCTTCAATTTTAAAGGCCTTGTGCCATCAGGGCAACTGCGACCATGTTGCCTGCAACTGCCCGGAAGGTAGGAACCCTTTAAATCAGTGTTTCCCAATCTTATTTGGCCAAGGAACCCTTTTAAACTCAAAAGAATTTTGCAGAACCCCTAATAACATTCTAGTATGTGGAGCTGAAAAAGTAGACCACAAATAAGTAAAAATAAGTAAGGATAATAATAAACAAATGCTAAACAAAGTAATGAGATCAATTTTTAGTTTAATTGCACATATTTAAAAACAAAAACCATATTTAATGTGTACAAAAAATAAAGCTCAAAAACTAATATGCATTATATTGGCAGTTTTCAATGCGAAGAGTGGTTTTTCTTCTTTTCTTGGCAAATTCTTTTTATATTTGGTTTAATACTGGAAAATTGGATTTGCATATCTGGCGCAGCATTCAGTCGATTTCTGTATTTCGTTTTTGTTGTTGCATAATTCAAGAACGGTGGTATTTAACAGGCGATCACGCATTTAATGTGTACAAAAAATAAAGCTCAAAAACTAATATGCATTATATTGGCAGTTTTCAATGCGAAGAGTGGTTTTTCTTCTTTTCTTGGCAAATTCTTTTTATATTTGGTTTAATACTGGAAAATTGGATTTGCATATCTGGCACAGCATTCAGTCGATTTCTGTATTTCATTTTTGTTGTTGCATAATTCGAGAACGGTGGCATTTAACAGGCGATCACGCCATTGACTGCGCGCGCAGCGCTGAGTAGTGACATCATCATCCCCACTCTCTGGCTAAGCTGGCATTACACAGGGACACTTATTGTGGCAAACACAAATGAAAATTGTTTTCAATAAAATTCATAAACGCTTAAATATTAATTTTTAAAAAATAATAAAATGTTATTTTAATGGAATTTTCTTGTGGAACCCTTATTTTCACTTCTTGGGAAACACTGCTTTGAATAGAAGCAACTGAAAGGGCTCGCAGCTCCCGGCGCCGCCTATTGCTGTGAGCCGTGAACCCTTTAAATAACAGCAGCTGAAAGGTTCCTGGCTCGTGGCTGCTGGGCAGCTACCAGGCAATGGGTTAGCAGCAGGGTCAGGAGCTGCAAGCCCTTTAGTGTGAATTCCAATGTCCCAGAGAACTCTGGGAGACGGCTAGCCCCCAGCACTGTCCCATCTGCTCCAGGTCCTACCCCTTCCATTGGCTGGAACTCGGGCAATGGAAGGAGTGGGACCCCAGGCCAACCAAAGCTGAGGATAGGCTAACTCCCAACCCCACCCCTTCCACCCATGCCCCACTCCTACCTCAGGCCCTGCCCATTCCAGGAGGGCCCACAAACACTTCTAAAATTTGTAAAGTGCCCCCCCCCTTCAAAAATTATTATATATTCCTCTGCTATAGGGATATATAATAGGAAGACATGGGAACTGGAAGGAGCAAGTGTTTGGAAAGTTAAAAAAAGAAGTAAAAATAGAACAGGATGTAAGTGAAGCTGGCAGGGATGATATTGTCCTGCCTCCACTGAACACAGCTTTTGAACAATCAGATATTTAGAAAATAAATATTTAGAAAGTTCAAAACAGAGAAATGAAACAATCAAGGCAGAAAGTGACTACAGCATGAATTAGAAATTCAGCAGTCTGGGTCAAAGTAAGGAGGAATTCCAGCAATGCTCTGGAAGTGGTGAAAGTTTAGAGATAATGGAGACATAGGAGGCAGAGGGAGTCTGAACAGACAAAGCTAACTCAAGATTTTTGGCTTTGGAATTAAAGTTTAGTTTGAAACTAAAAAAAGAGTCAAGAGAGGTGTTTATAATTGTGTGGCCAAACCTATCACAGATTATTATTACTATGACTAATTAAAGTTTTGAAGATGAAGTACAATAAAATACATCTGAAAGTTTAAAGTTGCTCTTCTGTCCATTAGAGATTAGACAGTTTTGTTGTGAACCACTTCTAAACCCTCAATACAGTAGTAGCAATATTAAACTAGTGGAAGAGAGAAAGAATTTACAGACTACCTGTAGAATCTGCCAATCCACTAGACCAAACACTTCAAAGTTTCTTTTCAAATATGAAAGATCATTTAAAATGGGGATTATTTTTCAGTTGCTCTTTAACCCTAATGTAATATTCTCAAACTGTTATTTATAAAACACTTTAAATAAGAATATAAATATACTGTGCAAGATATTAGGGACTAGCTCTCTGCCCAGAATAGACTGCCTGTGGAGCCCACAAATATGGCTGTTGGCAACATCTGTGGCCTTATGATGCCCAACCTGCCAATCTTGTTCTGGGAATCAAATGGGAATACTTTCAATAAGATCTGAATTGCTCCAGCTGCTATGACTGTGAAGAGCTTCTCTGGAGGATCAACAGAGTTCAGCAGCACTTTACACTTGGTATTCCTTCCTCTATTGGCTAGGCCTGTGTCATGTAGGGATTCTCTGATGCCAAGCCAACACCATCCAATTAATCAGTTACCCTAGCTATTTGCCTGCTTTGTGATGCCATTGAAACAAAGAAGGTAGAACACTGATACAATCTGGCCCCATAATATTTTCAATTAAAAGTGACAAATGGCTATAAAGGCTATGCCTTAATTATTCACAACTTACCAATTTAATACTTTTTGCAAATAAAATGACTCCAGCTATAGCCATTCCAGTACTAATGTTCTGAAAAAAAGAGAGTATTTTAAAATCCTTAATTTTTCTCTCTCTCGTTATTTTCATCCAATTAAAAACATTAAATAAGAAAATACAACCACCACCACACAGGTAACAGGCAACCAAGACATTCTAATGTGAATAAACTCACTAGAGGACCTTTAGCAGGGTCCTTGTTTTGTACTTTAGTGAACCTGTAGTACAAATCATTTAATAAATAATAACCAGGGGGCTGAGACGCTTTCCATATCCCTCTGTTGGCTGCAGCTGGATTGTGGCCTCTTCTGCTACTCATGCCACAGCAGGGTGGGGGGCTGCCACCAGGCCTTTCTGCTCCCAGATGGGGGTGGACCACGGGGCCTGCCCTAGGGTCGGGGTCAGGGACAGGACGCTGTGGCCAGATAGGGGCTGGGCCTTGATTGGGGCCTTGTTGACCAGGCTTCATTTTAAATAAAGAAAACTATTATGTCCAACACAAAAAAGGTTTAACATTGTCTTTATTTATGGCAGGGGTGAGGAACCTTTTTTGGATCAGGGGCCACTGACCCACAGAAAAATCAGAAGGGGATCACACACGTGAAAAGGGAAAAAAAGCTCCTCCAAAAAATCCCAACCCTCACTGATGTGGCCCCCAATTGAAACACTTCACTCCTCTGGTGCTCCAGCCCCATGGGGAGGGGGTGGGGAGGAGCGGGGAGGGCAAGACTGAGGTTCAAAGTTGTAACCAAGTACTGAATTTAGTGTGGTTTCATGTGAAACCTTTTTTTAAAAGTGAGATGAATGAAATTCAGATGCATTCTTGTGTATATTGTCCTTACTTTGTGGCTACGTCTAGACTGGCATGATTTTCTGCAAATGCTTTTAACGGAAAAGTTTTTCCGTTAAAAGCATTTGCGGAAAAGAGCGTCTAGATTGGCACGGACA